GGAGTGCAGTGGCCGCTCCCGGCCACCGCAGCCTCACCTGCTGGGCTCCGGCGATCCTCCACTTCAGCCTTCCAAGTAGCTGGAATTACAGGCGCACGCTACCACACCCAGCTGATTTTTTGATTTATTGTAGAGATGAGGTCTTGCTGCCCAGGCGGGTCTCGAACCCGCGGGCTCAGGCAATCCACTCACCTCACGCCTCCCAAAACCCCAAAATATTTTTAAATTAGAAGAATAATATGTGCCATGGCAAAGTATTTAACAGTACTAATACGAATAAAGTACTGCTCATGGTCACCACAGCCTCGACCTGCTGAACTCAGGCTATCCTTTCACCTCAGCCTTCCAAATAGCTAAAACTACAGGTATGCACCACCACGCCCAGCTAGTTTTTTGATTTATTGTGGAGACGAGGTCTCGCCTATTGCCCAGGCTGGTCTCAAGCCTGTGGGCTCAGGCAGTCCTCTCACCTCTGCCTCCCAAAGTGCTGGCTATAATTTTTTTATACTTGAGTATTGCAAACAATACTTGGGTATTGCAAAAAATGGATCTCATGCAGTCCTGGAGTAGTTAAATGACTTGGTGTCCTGGGCAATATTAAGCTTGATAGCTCCTGCCAATCGCTCTTTTAAGTGGTTTTAACAGTGTATGCTACAACTAACAGTATGTAGAATTATTTTTTTGGGGCAGGGGATGGGGTCTCACTACGTTGCTCAGGTTGGACTCCTGGGTTGGGGCAGTCCTCCTGCCTCAGCCTCCTGAGTAGTTCTGAGAATTTTTTTTTTTCTAGGATGTTCAGGTTTTATTGTAGATAATTTTTTTTTAATCAGTATTTTTATTTTGATATTGTGGGGTACAGTTAAGGGTTAAGTGTACAACTATGCTTCGTTCAGGCACTGAGTTCTGAGAATTTTTGAGAGAAGAAAGAATGAAAGGATGTAGTCATTGCTGGCTTCTTGTTGCACTCAGGAAAGCCTTGGACTGGTTTCCGTTTGAGTGTGAAGGGGAGACTCAGAACCCAGAGAGGGTTCTTTGTTTTTGTTTCTTTTTGAGTTGGAGTCTCGCTCTTTCGCCCAGACTGGAGGGCAGTGGCCGCTCCCGGCCACCGCAGCCTCGACCTGCTGGGCTCCGGCGATCCTTCCGCCTCAGCCTTCCGAGTAGCCGGAATTACAGGCATACGCTACCATGCCCGGCTGATTTTTTGATTTATGGTAGAGATGAGGTCTCGCCAAGTTGCCCAGGCGGGTCTCGAACCCGCGGGCTCAGGCAATCCACTCGCCTCAGCCTCCCAAAGGCATGGGATTACAGGCTGAGCCACCGAGCCCGGCTCCAGAGAGGGTTTGTAGTAATAATAATAATAGTCACCAAGTATTGAGCACTTATCAGAGGTCAGGCAGTGTTGTAAGCCTTTTGTACATACTGTTTTGTTTAATTCTTATGACAGCCTGTGAGCTACATTGTATTATTATTATCACCATTTCATCGATGAGGAAAATTCAGCAAGAAAGAATGGTTTATCCAGAGTTCCATACCACCAAATTACAGGTGGACAAGGGTTGCCTACCTCAATATTCTGCTGTCTGATCCCTTGTGCTCTGTGGTTTCATATATCATAGAAATGAAGGACCTACTTTTTTTTTTTTTAACTTTGGGTAAAACATGATTATAGTCTGTTATCTTTAATCTCACTTCAATACATCAATACTTATGTCTTCAAAGAACACATTTCATTTTCCCCTACCAAAATGATAAAGTTGAATCTTAAAATCCTATTCAAGTGTAAATATAGTGAATAAAAAGTTATTAGAGTCTGGGTTCATATAACATTTCCTCATGCTATGTCTTACCATTGTGGTATTGCACTTGTTTTAAGTATAGCATATTACGTATGTATAATTATATGTATATAATGAGCATAATTTACTTATATAATAACTTTTTAAGATGGTTTTTTTTCTGTGGTGTCATACGTTTGTGTAATCACTTAACTTTTTCTTTTCTTTTTTTTTTTTTTTTGAGTTGGAGTCTCACCCAGTCACCCAGACTGGAGTGCAGTGGCCGCTCCCGGCCATCGCAGCCTCACCCTCTAGGCTCCGGCGATCCTTCCGCCTCAGCCTTCCAAGTAGCTGGAACTACAGGCGCGCGCTACCACGCCCGGCTAATTTTTGATTTATTGTAGAGATGAGGTCTCGCCAAGTTGCCCAGGCGGGTCTCGAACCCGCCGATTCGCAATCCACTCACCTCGGCCTCCCAGAGGCGCGGGATTACAGGCTGAGCCACCGAGCCCGTCTATTTTAGCCATTTTTAAGAATATAGTTCAGTAGTGTGAAATGTGGTTACATTGTTAAGAAACAGATCTTCAGAACAATTTCATCTTGCAAAGGAAAGTATACCCATTAAACTATTTCCCTTTCTCCCCCTTCTCCCATCATTCACTTTCTGTTCTGTGAATTTGACTAGTTTAGATACTTTGTATACATGGAATCATACGGTATTTGTCTTTTTTTTTTTTTGAGTTGGAGTCTCAGTCACCCAGACTGGAGTGCAGTGGCCGCTCCTGGCCACCGCAGCCTCGACCTGCTGGGCTCCAGCAATCCTTCCACCTCAGCCTTCCAAGTAACTGGAACTACAGGCACGCGCTACCACGCCTGGCTAATATTTTGATATATTGTAGAGATGAGGTCTCACCAAGTTGCCCAAGTGGGTCTCGAACCTGGGTATTTGTCTTTCGATGACTGACTTTTTCCCCTTGTCATAACATCCTCAAGGCTCATCCATGTTGTAATGTGACAGGATTTTCTTCCCTTTTTTTTTTTGAGTTGGAGTTTCTGCCGCCCAGGTTGGAGTGCAGTGGCACACTCATTGGTCACCCCAGTGTCAACTCGCTGGGCTCCAACGGTCCTTCTGCCTCAGCCTTCCAAGAAGCTGGAACTATAGACACACACTACCACACCTGGCTAATTTTTGATTTATTGTGGAGACGCGTTCTCGTCAAGTTGCCTGGGCTGGTGTCAAACCTGTGGACTCAGGCAATCTACTTCCTTGGCCTCCCAAACTGCTGGAATTACAGGCTGAACCACTGAACCCAGCCAGATTTTTTTTTTTGTGGTAACGCTGAGATCTTGCTGTGTTGCCCAGGCTGATCTTAAACTCTTGGCCTCAAGCGATCCTCCTGCCTTGGCCTCCTAAAGTGCGGGGCGTACAGGCGTGAGCCACCGCACTCAGCCTTCAGACAGTTCTTGAAAAAGATTCAATGAAATATCTGGGCCGGGCTTGGTGGCTCAGCCTGTAATTCCAGCACTTTGGGAGGCCGAGGCAAGTGGATTGCCTGAGCCCGCGGGTTTGAGACCAGCCCAGGCAACTTGGCGAGACCTCATCTCTACAATAAATAAAAAATTAGCTGAGTGTGGTAGTACGTGCCTGTAGTTCCAGCTACTTGGATGACTGAGGTGGAAGGATCGTGGGAGCCCAGCAGGTAGATGCTGGGGTGGCCATGAGCGTGCCACTGCACTCTAGCCTGGGCGACAGAGTGAGACTCCAACTCAAAAAAAGAGAAATGGTATCTGTAAAGTGCTTAGCACAGTGGCCAACTGGAATGCCTCATGAAGTGGTAAGCATTTTTATTAAGCATGCATTTGTGAACGTCTATGTTTGGACCTCAAAAGAAGTCAGAATGGACTCCAGAGGAACAGGGCACCTGTCAGTACCTTCTTTAGCTCTTTTTTCCTGTTTGTGTTTTGTAGAAGTAACCGGCAGGAGTACCCCATTGTTTGCTATAGTGCTCAGTAAAGAGTGCTCAGCTTTCCGGCAGTTGTTTTTGGTGGCACTGGCGAGTGTCATTTGGAAGCATGGGGAGTTTGGCAGGCTTGGTGGTGTTTGTTAGAGGGTGCCTTGGCGTCATCGTAGGGCAAAGTGATGCCCAGGATTTCTCACTGATTCATCCTCTCGTGCGGAATGTGAACAAACTCCATCCGACTTGGGGGTGGGCAGGAAGAGCCCTGAGGACCTCATTACAGACAGCCCACTTCTTTGAAATTCTCCTGCTGAGAATTATTCCACACCGTTTGGATTTCCTCCTTTTTAATCTGAACAATTTTGGCTGCTGTTGGAAGTAATTAGACAGAAAATGGTCTGGTGTTTTTGGCACAGTTAACATTTTTACTCTTCTGAAGTTAATAGAATCCTTTTAGAGCTGGAAGTGTCCTTAGAAGAGCCACATGATTCTGTCCCTTGATGGGGGAGCCTCGGCCTTCAGAGCAGAAAGCGCACAGGACCTTTGACATCAAGTCCTTGCTCACCTCAGGTTGGGGAAGACGCACAGAATGGGTCCACTCTATCTACAAGCCAATCTAAGAAAATGATTATTCTCTCTACCGTGTGCTCCCTTGAGTGTGTATCCTACTACTTACTATATTTACTCATTTATTATCTGGGCTAGCAACCAACTTAGATATCTCAGTTGACTAAGCACAACAAAGGTTTATTTCTTGCCCACATATTATGTCCAGTCGAGGTCAGGGAGGAAAGTATCTTTGCTCCACTCCACCCAGTCACTCAGGGACTTTGCTGATAGGGGCCTGCCATCTTTAGCAAGCCACTGAGAATACATGCCTTCCAGGTTACCACAGCAGGAAAAAGAATTCACACACTCATGCCTCCATGCTTCTGCCTGGAAATGGTGTCATCATCTTTGCTCTTTGCTCATTGGTCAGAACTGCTCACATGACTCTGCCTAACTACAAGATGGCTGGAATCATGGAGGACACCTGGAATATTCAATGGGCACGACCAGGGAGAAGCGATGTATGGTATTATGTTTGGTAAAAGCTGCATATTGGAGAATTGTAGCTTCCCATTCTCTAGGTCTACCAGGTTTTATGACCTTCCTGGTTTTCTTTTCTTTTCTTTTTTTTTTTTTTTGAGTTGGAGTCTTACTCTTGTCACCCAGACTGGAGTGCAGTGGCTGCTCCCGGCCACCACCACAGCCTCGACCTGCTGGGCTCGAGTGATCCTTCCACTTCAGCCTTTCAAGTAACTGGAACTACAGGCACGTGCCACCATGCCTGGCTAATTTTTAAAAATTTATTGAAGAGGTCTCGCGAAATTGCCCAGGCTGGTCTCAAACCCGTGGACTCAGGCAATCCTCTCGCCTTGGCCTCCCAAAGTGCTGGGAATTTTATAGACTTGAGCCATGGTACCTGGCCATGGCAGTAGCTTTTACTAAATAGCCTGGTGAGAACAGGGAAGTTGCTGCCAACCACAGGGTACTGGGGCCCATGAACAAAACAGCAGATAATACAATAGAGAAGCTGTGGTGTCAACTGGGACTTCATCTTCTGACTTTTTTCCTTACCAGGCAGTAGGTTAAATTTTTTTTTTTTTTGAGTTGGAGTCTCACTCTGTCACCAGGCTGGAGTGTAGCGGCATGCTCACGGCCACCACAGCCTCCACCTGCTGGACTTAGGCAATCCTTCCACCTCAGCCTTCCAAGTAGCTGGAACTACAGATGCACACCACCACATCCAACTAGTTTTTTGTGATTTATTGTAGAGACGAGGTTTCACCAAGTTGCCCAGGCAGGTCTCAAACCTGTGGGCTCAGGCAATCCTCTCGCCTCGGCCTCCCAAAGTGCTGGGATTACAGGCTGAGCCACCAAGCCCGACTGGATTACTTTTATTGTGAACTGTATCCTCCTGGCTATTTCTGGGACAGGCTGAAAATTACTACCCTCTCCTACCCCCCCAAAAAAGATACCAAAGTCTCAATCCCAGCAACTGGTGAATGTTACCCTATATGGCAAAAAGGATTTTGCAGATGCGATTAATTAAGGATCTTCAGAAGGAGTAGGTTATCCCAGTGGGCCTTAAGTGCTATCATAGCATGTATTCTTCCAAGGAGAAGGCAGGCAGAGATTTCACAGAGACAGAAAAGGGGGGGGAACAGAGCCACGGAGGTGGAGACTGGAGTGATGTGGCTGGAAGCCAAGGGATGCTGGCAGCCTCCTGAAGCTGGAAGAGGTTAGGAGTGGATTCTCTTCCAGATCCTCTGTAGGGAGTGTGACCCTGCTCACTCCTGATTTTAGTGATACTGATTTTGGGACGCTGGCTTCTGTGAGAAAATGGAATTTCTGTTGTTTTTAAGTTACTAAGTTTGTGGTACGTTTTTACAGCAGCCACAAGAAGCTAAGATACTTCGGTTCCCAGGTTTTGGTGCTCAGTGGCTGTTGCCCTGGTAACCAGTGAAGAATTGGTGGCTGGGGTGGCATTTTGAGAGTGTTGCTCTCTGACCCCGTTTTTCAGGACTGTTAAGGATCTGAGAGGTACAGCTGTTTTTGTCCCTCTGGATTTCCCAGGAAGCCTTCCTTGACAGGACTGCAGGGCAGGGGTGAAGACTTGGGACTATGGTTTTCATTACAGTTTTCATATGTCATAAAATGCCACCCCCCCAGCCATTTAAACATGTAAAAAATAAATAAAATTCATGTTGGAAGAGCAAATGCTTAAGGATAACAGAGGCAGCCTGGAAAGGGAAGAAAGAAATTGAGTGATACATTCAACTAAACATTGAAACAAAGTTTAGCCAGGTCTGGTGTCTCGCGCCTGTAATCCCAACATTTTGGGAAGTGGAGACAAGAGGATTGCCTGAGCCTAGGGGTTCGAGACCAGCCCGAGCAACTTGACAAGACATTTTCTCTACAGTAAATCATAAAATTAGCCAGGGCATGGTGGCCCACGTCTGTAGTTCCAGCTACATGGAAGGCTGAGGCGGAAGGATCGCCGGAGCCCAGCAAGTCGAGGTTGTGGGTGGTGGCTGTCAGCGTGCCACTGCACTCCAGCCTGGGTGACAGTGAGACTCTGACTCAAAAGAAGAAGAAACAAAGTTTAGTCGCCCCTCGGTATGAATGGGCTATTGATTCCAGGACCCCTCACGCACACCAAACCCACACATACTCAAGTGCCAAAGTGGGCCCTCCTGAACCCACAATATGCAAAAAGTTGACCCTCTGTATACTTGAGGTTTGCATCCTTAAATCCTATATTTTCAATCCACGTTTGGTTGAAAAAAATCTGCACTTGGTTGAAAAATGTCTGCCTAAAAGTGGAACCAACACAGTTCAAGCCCGTATTGTTCCAAGGTCAACTGTACTAAGCTGTAATGTGAGCAGGGAGCAGCGTGGGGCAAGACAGAATGGTTGAGCGTATGTACCTGATGACGTTCTGAACTTGCCACTTTGGAAGTGTGGAAAATCCAGGACTTCACTCAAGTATGTGTGGTGATTTACTGTGTGATGAAGGCCAACTTTTCAAACCAGTGGGAAAGGATGGAGGAAAATAAATAAATAGGAACCATCCTTGGGTGGCATGCCACACCAACAAAAGGGAGCAGTGAGCAAGATTTAGCCCCCAGGCTGCCACTGGACGAGCCTTACTACTATCAAATATATAGGCAGAGCCTCTGACACAGGTTTTTCAGAACTGGTGTTTTGAGAAAGAGTAGTCCCAAGGGGGGGTGGAATTAGACCTGGTCTGATCTTCTGCCTACCCTGAAGGGTAGGCATAGATGTATCTGCAGCTGAAAGGTCTTGTGAGCAAAAGACATAGACAGGTTACAGAACAGCCCTGAAACATAAGAAAAGATGGTCAACACCCTTCACAATAAGACAGGGTTATTTAGGCCGGTCTTGATGGCTCAGCCTGTAATCCCAGCACTTTGGGAGGCTGAGGCGAGTGGATTGCCCGAGCCCGCGGGTTCGAGACCAGCCCAGGCAACTTGGCGAGACCTCGTCTCTACAATAAATAAAAATTTAGCCAGGTGTGGTAGCGTGCACCTGTAGTTCTGGCTACTTGGAAGGCTGAGGTGGAAGGATCACTGGAGCTCGCAGTTGATGCTGGGATGGCTGTGAGTGTGCCACTGCACTCCAGTCTGGGCAACAGAGTGAGATTCCAACTCAAAAAAAATTAAATAAAAAGAAATGAGAAACTTTGTTTCCTGTTAGGATCTCCAAGATATATTATCCAAACAAAAAGCAGGACAATGAGTGTAATATGCTGTTATTTGTTTAAAAGGGGATACACACATGTATGTAAAATTTTGTTTGTGCACCAATTAACTCTGGAAGCATGCATAATAAACTGATAATATTTGCCTTCGGGGAGGGGAACTGGGTAGTTGGGGTAGGGGGTAAGAGTGGGACTTTTCTTTCTTTCTTTCTTTCTTTTTTTTTTTGAGTCGGAGTCTCACTCTGTTACCCAGGCTGGAGTGCAGTGGCACACTCACGACCACCGCAGCCTCGATCTGCTGGTCTCTGGCGATCCTTCCGCCTCAGCCTTCCCAGTAGCTGGAACTACAAGCGCGTGCCACTACGACCAGCTAATTTTTGGATTTATGGTAGAGATGAGATCTCATCAAGTTGTCCACGCTGGTCTCGAACCCCTGAGCTCAGGCAATCCCTCTTGCCTCGTCCTCCCAAAGTGCTGGATTACAAGCTTGAGCCACTGCGCCCGGCCGACTTTTATGTCTTATATGTTTATTTTTAACCTTTTAGATTCAAACCATGTGAATGTGAACACCTACTCAAAAAATAAGCAAAGGTGAATAAATAAATAAAGCGAACCTTCGCAACCCAGCAAGCCCTCTAGTTGGGTAACATGGTTAAGTGTGTTTACTTGTTTCCCTGAGTAACACCCAGCGCAGCTTGTGTTCTATGGAATGCACCTTGAGTAATTTTTTTTTTTTTTTTTTTTTTAGTCGGAGTCTCAGTTGGGTGCAGTGACTCATGCCTGTCATCCCAGCACTTTGGGAGACTGAAACGGGAGAATTGCTTGAGCTCAGGAGTTTGGGACCATCCTGGGCAGCATAGCAAGACCTCGTCTCTTAAAAAAAAATAAAAAGAGGAGTCGGAGTCTCCCTCTGTGTCCCAGGCTGGAGTGCAGTGGCATGATCATGGCTCACTGCAGCCTCAACCTTCTGGGCTCAGGCAGTCCTCCTTTATCAGTCACCAGACTAGTTGGGACCACAGGCATGCACCACCATGCCCAGCTAGTTTTTGTTTTTTGTAAAGATGAGGTCTCACTCTGTTGTCCAGGCTGATCTCAAATTCCTGGGCTCAAGTGATCCTCCCCCCTCAGCCTCCCAACGTGCTGGAATGACAGACATGGGCCACTGTACCTGGCCAAGTGATTCTTTTTGAAATGTGGCCCCACCTACCTCCCTCCTACCTACTCTGATTTCTTTTCTCTCCAGTGTACTTCTGATGCTTGGGTTTAGGTCAGTTGTGAGAAAGAATTATGTGAAGGAAAACGAGTGTGACGACATAATTATAGCTTTTAATTTGAAATTTAGAATATTAAATTAATTTGCAATTACCTTTGAATTACCTCTCTAGGTCAGGGCTTCCTAACTGGTGTGTTGAAATTTTATTTCTTCAGCCCCGGAGTATGTGGGGCGAGGGCTTTGGGGCACAGCCCCCAGGATGGTGATGGCTTTTTCAAGAATCCTACCAGCATGCTGTGTAAATACAATTCTCAGTGTATGCAGTCATATGGAAAGGTTGGCAAATACTGCTGTAGGTAAAATGTGGTCTTGCATTTTTAAAATGTATGCCCTGGCCGGTGACTCAAGCCTATAATCCCAGCACTTTGGGAGGCCAAGGCAAGAGGATTGTCTGAGCCCAGGGGTTTGAGACCTACCTGGGCAACTTGGCAAGACCTCGTCTCTACAATAAATCACAAAAAAAATTAGCCGGGCATGATCGCGCACACCTGTAGTTCCGGTTACTTGAAAGATTAAGGTGGAAGGATTGCCTGAGCCCAGCAGGTCAATGCTGGGGTGGCCGTGAGCATGCCATTGCACTTCAGCCTGGGTAACAGAGTGAGACTCAAACCAAAAAAAAAAAGTATGCCCTATGGCCAGGCATGGTGGCTTACACCTGTAACTTCAACACTTTGGGAGTCTGAGGCAGGCAAATTGCTTGAGGCCAGGAGTTCAAGACTGGGCAACATAGCGAGACCTTGTCTCTACGCAAAATAAAAAAATTAGCCAGGCATGGTGGTGTGTGTCTGTAGTCCCAGCTACTCGGGAGGCTGTGGTGGGCGGACCGCCTGAGGCCAGGAGGTCGAGGCTGCAGTGAACCATGATTGTAGTACTGCACTCCAATCTGGGTGACAGAGTGAGACCCCCCCCACCTCAAAATACATATATAATACATGTAGTGTAAAAATAATTACGGAAAGCAAGTCAAGTGGTTGTGGTCTTTGGGAAAACCCTAGTGGCAGCTTTGCACCAGCGCTGAGTCCTCTGCCTTGTGTCTGCTGTGAGTGGGCGCTTTCCTGGGAGAGTAGTCAGGCAGTGTTCACAAAGCTGGCTTAACCTCAGTGTCTGCCACACAAGCCCACTGGAGAAGAGGGAAGAGTTACATTTTAGAAAGTGGTCTTGCGTTGATTCATATGTCCGCTGTCTATAGGAACAAAGCCCTGCTCAGCTTCCTCATAACTGGTATCACAGTTGAGAACTTCTGTCCTAAGACTAAGTGAAATCCCAAATTGTGGCTGGTTGAGTATAAGTTCATTTCTTTTTTGAGTTGGAATCTCACTCTGTCGCCTAGGCTGGAGTACAGTGGCACGCTCACGGCCACAGCAGCCTCCATCTGCTGGGCTCAGGTAATCTTTCTGCCTCAGCCTTCCAAGTAGCTGGAACACACAGGTGCATGCCACCACACTGGCCAATTTTTTTATTTATTGTAGAGACGAGGTCTTGCCAAGTTGTCCAGGTTGGTCTCGAACCTCTGGACTCAGGCAATCCTCTTGCCTCGGCTTCCCAGAGTGCTGGGATGGCAGGCAAGGAGCCACCACTCCCGACTAAGTTCACTTCAAACCACCCAGTTGAGAGAGTTTTTAAAGCATTAGTGACAAGTGAAAAATACTCATTGCAATGGTGTAGAAAGAAGAACTTTGTCAAGTTCAGTTTTCTTCTGAACTGATTTGTTGTGCTGTGATGTCCTGGTGCATTGGATGGTGTTGATAATGCTGTCTGTTCTTTATGTTTTCTGGAAAAGTAACTGAATTAGTATGTCAATGTGCTACCTGAAGAAATCTAAGAGCTATTAAAATGCTTAAGAAGAAAATGATCGATTCTCCTTTTGTTCTCTTGACAGGATAATTGAAGCTATCTGCATAGGGTGGTTCACTGCAGAGTGCATCGTGAGGTTCATTGTCTCCAAAAACAAGTGTGAGTTTGTCAAGAGACCCCTGAACATCATTGATTTACTGGCGATCACGCCGTATTACATCTCCGTGTTGATGACCGTATTTACAGGCGAGAACTCTCAACTCCAGAGGGCCGGTGTCACCTTGCGGGTACTCAGAATGATGCGGATTTTTTGGGTGATTAAGCTTGCCCGCCACTTCATTGGTCTTCAGACCCTTGGTTTGACGCTCAAGCGTTGTTACCGAGAGATGGTGATGTTACTCGTCTTCATTTGTGTTGCCATGGCAATCTTCAGTGCACTTTCTCAGCTTCTTGAACATGGGTTGGACCTGGAAACATCCAACAAGGATTTCGCCAGCATCCCGGCTGCCTGTTGGTGGGTGATTATCTCTATGACGACAGTTGGCTATGGCGATATGTATCCTATCACAGTGCCTGGAAGAATTCTCGGAGGAGTTTGTGTTGTCAGTGGGATCGTTCTACTGGCATTACCGATCACTTTTATCTACCATAGCTTCGTGCAGTGTTACCATGAGCTCAAGTTTAGATCCGCCAGGTGTAGTCGGAGCCTCTCTGCTGAGTTCCTGAATTAATGCGTTGCAAATCCATTCTTGCATACATTTCATAGAAGGAGTTGATGCTCTTTCATTTTCATGCATTTCTCGCTGGGTGAGCACTGCAGTGGCATTGTCATCATCTTGATAGGGTAGACATGGTCCTTCCCAGCTGAAGGGATAAAACGGTTTACTTATTACGGAGTAAATAGAGTCAAGACCGCCCAGGAAGAGTCAGAACTCCTCGAATAAACATCAGGACCTTATTTTATTTCAATGTCTTTCCTCTTTGCCTTTGAACAATTACACTTTTTTTTTTTAAGTACATTATTTGAACATTTTAAAACAGAAAGGTACTATTTTCCAAATGTTTTTCCATCTTATGAATTCAGAAGAAGCTTGGAAATTATAGTGCTGTTTTTTGGTTGAGAGTCACATTTTCATTTCTAAATGTTTTATAATTTCTCATATCAATGTCAGAAGTATCCTGGAAACATATGTCACATGCAGGAGCTGTTTAACAAATACTTTAAAATTGGGCCAAAATTTCAACTGTGTAAAAGAGCTAGATACAAGCAAGACTAGTATTTGAGAGACTTTTCCAGCATACTCCTCTCTTCTCTGCTTTGTTTTTTGTACCTGTTTTTCACCTGATTGTACAGCTTCACAGAGGCTTTGAGGATGTTCTTTCTTTTCCATTTGGAATGTTTAAAATCTCTTTACTGAAGTGACTCAAAAAAGTATTTAGGAATTGAAGAGAACTTGTATTGTTTAGCATTTTGTTGGATCATATTTGAATTCATTGCTGTTACTAGGTGATAATTGTCCTAACATTTAGATGTTCAAACAAGAAATTTCCAGTATAAAAATGATAATAGAAATAGTTTGATATTATTCAGTATTACCACCCATATTTATCTTCTTTGTGTCTTAACTTTTGCCCCAAATACCATGGGCTTAATAAGACTTACCAGATGAAAGGATATTTATATAGTTTTTTTTAATACCAAAGGCGTCCTTATGTGTTATCACTGGATTATCATTTTAAAAAGAAATTAAATACTACTGTACTCTTTCATAGTTGCTGTGTGGCTAAGTCGATTTTAAGCCAGCTAAAGGTACGAATACATAATTATTTGATCGTCTCTTTACCATTGTGAATCACAGCTACGCCAAAACTCTTTTTGTAAGAATATCGGATAATACGCCGTATTAATCTGGCTAGATTATTAGGACTAGATAATGTAAAAGTGATGGTGTTTAGTGCCAAATTTTAGCCATAGGAATTAGAATTTTGCTTTTTCAGCCAATTGCCATAAAGAAGTCAGTGCAAAAATACGAAAAATTAAAATCTCGGATTCATGTAGATAATTGAATGTTGTGCAGGGTAGTTCATCAGGGACGGAGGAGAGAGGGACTGGCGGGTGGGACAGGGGCACACTTATCAAGTCAGGGGTTACCAGAAGTGTTCATTAAAGGAACTTAGCCATCATCCAGTCCAAACCGCGACTGCTTCAGGCTGAAAACGAGGACAAGTAAGGGTAGGATTGTGAAGGACTGGGGCTGCCACCTGAATCTCCAGAAACCCAGCCCTGCAGGGTATTCTTCACACTCTTTTAGGTTCCCAGAAAAGCCCTGAGAACTCTCACTTCCTTGTCACTGTCATACTGAGATAATTATCGCAAGTTGGTTTTCTTTTCCCTACTTTCCTTTCCTGGGTTTGTGTGATATTTCGGCCATTAAAAATCTCACCCCGCCTTGTCTGTTCCTCCCGGTATGCTACTTTTGACAGACTCAAAATACACAATATTATTTGTTGTATATTTCTTGTATTTTAATCTAGTTGAAATATATGGCATGGATTTTTTTTTTTTTTTTACTATTTGGATTAAAGCTTTGTGATTCATGCAAGTCATGTACAGATGGTAGTACCTCCATAGTACTAATAAAAATATGGCAGCCTTCCATTTGACTGATACTGGGATGCTTCCTGTGAATATATCTTACCTTCCCAAATAAATTATAATGATCTTGAGAGTGGGGACCCTCTCATGCACACATTCTTCTGTCCCCCACAGTGTCTATTACAGACTTGGACACAAACTCTTGTCTGATTTGGGAAGGGGCGAAATTTCTGTATGAACAGACAAGGAGAAACAGACACCTATAGGTATGTGTGTATAGCCACATGTGTGGACACACAGACTTTGTGCTGCCCTTAGGTAACAAGTGAGAAATCCCTTCTTGGTGATTCCAAGCTTTTGTTTTTGGAGTTGGGGTCTCACTCTGTGGCCCAGGCTGAAGTATAATGGCACAATCATGGCTCACTGCAGCCTCGACTTCCTAGGCTCAGGCAATCCTTTCACCTCAGTCCCCCAAATAGCTAGGACTACAGCACATGCCACCACGCTCGGCTAATTTTTTTGATTGATTATAGTGATGAGGTCTCACCAAGTTGCCTGGGCTAGTCTCGAACCTGTGGGCTCAGGCAGTCCTCTCACCTCGACCTCCCAAAGTGCTGGGATTATAGGCACGAGCCACTGTGCCTGGCTTAGCAATGGCATTTTCTTGTAACTTTCCCGAAATGTTGCTGCTTTTATTTTATTTATTTATTATTTATTTTTTTAGAGACAGGGTCTCCCTCTGTGGCCCAGACTGGAGTGCAGTGACGTGATCATAGCTCACTGCAACCTCAAATTCCTGGGCTCAAGCAATCCTCCCGCCTTGGCATCCCAATGTACTGAAATTACAGGTGTGAGCCTCTGCACCAATCATGTTGCTGCTTTTTAAAAAAATTATTAAGTAGTACTGCATTCTATTGGTACTTAGACATTTCTCATAACTCAGTCTTCATGGATGAAATGATTTCATTAGGCTCTATATTAGTACCAGTAAGTCAGATACTACCCTAAATTAAAATACCCAAAGAGGAAAGAAGCCCTAATCTTTGTTTTGATTTTGCCACACCTGAACTTACATGACTCGATCTTATAACGTATTTTGTATTCTTTTAGGTGGGATTTTTAGGATCAGAAAAACAAAATTAGGGAATATATTTGAAAGTGAGCAAATGGACAGTTCAAAACTTTTCTTTTTTCTTTTTCTTTTTTTTTTGAGTCAGAGTCTTGCTCTGTCTCCCAGGCTGAAGTGCAGTGGCATGCTCACAGCTATTGCAGCCTTGATTAAGTTGTCCAGTCTGGTCTTGAATCCGTGGGCTCAGGCAATCCTCTCACCTCGGCCTCCCAAAGTGCTGGGATTATAGGCGTGAGCTACCGTGCCCAGCCAAAACTCAGATTTTCTATAGAATTTTTTATTTGTTTTATTTGTTTTTATTTATTTATTTATTTTTTGAGTTTGAGTCTCACTCTGTCGCCCAGGCTGGAGTGCAGTGGCATGCTCTCAGTCACTGCAGCCTCGACTTACTGGGCTCCGGCGATCCTTCCACCTCAGCCTCCCAAGTAACTGGAACTACAGGCACGCGCTACCACGCCCGGTTAATTTTTTGATTTATTGTAGAGATGAGGTCTCACCAAGTTGCCCAGGCGGGTCTCAAACCCGCGGGCTCAGGCAATCCATTCACCTCAGAGAATTTTTTAAATTGCAAAACAGTTGTGTACCCATTCACATGTATTTGAATAAGTACAGGTATTTCTTAGTTATCACTGTATTATTTAGAAAATAAATTTCATAGCTGAATAGGAAGTAACATGTGTTGATGCTTTAATAGAATGTTCTGGAAAAGCTCCGTTTTCGTAAGAGAAGGCAGCATTCACTTACTTCTCTATTTGTTCAACCATCTTTCATGTGCTACTTTGCTTCCTTCCTTCCCAGAGCCCACCTGCCTTCAGAAGACTGGACACATCAGTTCTGCCCCTGAAAGTAAACTAATGATTTGCCACCCCATTTGCTCTGGATCCTTTTATAGTCTTTTGAAAGGTCATCCAGAGGCATGATTATATCATCCCATTCTGTGGTTAATTAATGCCCACACTTTCAGATTTTTCCAGTTCTCTCGACCATTTCCAGTAAGCACTGGAGCTTTGGACTACTAGTGTTAGCACAATTGTCAGTTTACTATTCTTTGCCTAGGGAACTGAACTTGATAACCTGCATTTATGCTATAATAGAAATAAATTAATTTTACGTTGCTTTAGTGGGAATTCTTTGATTTATATTTTAAAATATCAGCAACGCTATACCAAGTATAGTCATAAATGACATTAAGTGAGTGAAAGCCAAGGGGATTATTATTTTGGCTTCTCACCTATCAGGAGTTAGTGATTCTATGCCATTTATATCTAAAGTAGTGTTCTTGTATACTTATTTATGTAGCATTGTATTCAGACTAAAAGGAAAAGTTCTAATTTTATACTAGATAGGATCCTACCCTCCAAGACTTCAATCAATCCTTCCTTCCTTCCTTCCTTCCTTCCTTCCTTCCTTCCTTCCTTCCTTCCTTCCTTCCTTCCTTCCTTCTTCCTCT